GGAGGGCCGGCACGTCCCAAGGGGGAAGCGGGGGGGGGAAGAAAGAGGGTGCTTGTAGGCTGGGAGGGGGCGTGGAGGGGGTTCTAAGGAGAAAAATAAATAGGAGAGGGGGGGTTCAGGGGAGACCCCCTCCTCGTCCTCCTCCACTCCCTTATCTCCCCTTCCTAGGGGGGAAGTTCCTCTGAGCTGGTGCAGAGGGCCGGACAGGAGGGAAGGTGGGAGGCACAGCAGGCCCCCCCCCACATACCTGGAAGTGCAATGGGAATGGGCTGCTGAGCCCCAGACCCTCCTTTTTTGGCGGGGGGGAGAGGGTTGCAAGCAGCAGCAAAGCCACACATTTCTCCCCCTCCCCATATAGAGGCAGGGGGTTTCAGTTGAGCTTCAGGCCCCCCAAGAAACATGACAAACCCTCCTCCCTCCTTCCAAGGTGACCTCCTGCACCCCCTTGCAAAAAGCTGGTGGAGGGGGAAGGTTTTCTGCTCCTACTCCAGAGGAACCCACCCGAGGGCTGCCTTGAAAGCAGGGGGTGGGGGGTTAGGGTGGCAGCTTCTGCCCACCCCATGGGAAAGGGGGCCAGCAGACTCAAGGACCGCCTGTGGCATCTCCTGTCCTTCAGATGGCCCACACCTAGAACGGGGGGGGGGACATGGAAAAAGTTGGCTCATTACCTTCAAAAAGGAGGACAGGATCCACACACCCAGTAAAACCTGCACAGCTTTAAGGTGAAAACAGTTTCCTGGACTACAACTCCCAGGACCCCCCCCCTTGGCCAGGCCGCTTTGGGGAGTCTTGGAGGGGCACAGCTTCACCCACACACACACACAGACACAAATCCCTAGCAATTTGCCACAAGCTCTGGAGCGGGTAAGCTGCGCAGGGAGACCTGGATCATAGCTGGGAGGGGGCCGGAAAGCGATTTGTGCAGAAGCCCCCTTCCCCCCCCCGCACGGTCACCTTTCTGCCCATTTGGCCGGCAGCCCTGGGCTGGTTCCAGAGGGGAGAGAAAAACCTTCCCTCCCTTTTCGGTTTTACAACCTGGGTGGCTTTAACAAGGGGCTCCGTGTTTGCCTTCGCTGTAAAGGGCAAGGATCGTCACCACGATCTCCAGGAAAGGGCTGTAAAGCCAGCCAGGGCGTGAGCGTGTTTCGGAGCCCAGGAACTTGCGGACGTGAGAACAGTTTTGAAGTGGGGTGTGGAACCAAGGCTACGATGGATGAGGGGATATCCCAAATTCTTGCACTTTTCTTGGCCGTGTTTTAAGTGTTGCCATCCTGAGATTCTCCCACAGCAGGGAAATGAAACCCTGGTCTTATTTTACTTTTTCTTTGGCGATGGCTCGGGCGCAGGAATCGGCCAGATCCTTTGCGCCATAACACGCTTCCTGGAGATACCTGTGCAGAAAGAGGCCATCCTGCGCAGGAATTGTAATAACGATGCGCAGGGTGGCATTTGTTCCCGGAAACAATAATCACAATGCTTTCAAAGCTGAGATTCGTAAAAGATTTCTAAAGGGCAGGTGAGGCCTCGGACACAGAAGTCTCACTGCGGGAGAAAAAGGTGACCAGACCCCCAACTGTCGTGTGAGATTCACAATCTTACTGGGACTCTAATTCCCATCATCCATAACTGCTGGCCAGGCTGATGAGCGTCTCTGCCCAGTGACTTCTGGTTCCTTTCCCAGTTTAAGGCCACGTGCGTGCTTCTAACTGCGCCGCGGTCACCCACACTTCCTCTGCTAGGAAGACCGGCCAGGTAGCCCCACGGCATCCTTCCTCCGCCCGTCCAGTGGCCGGACAGACCTTTCAGATCCCTCTTGACCTCAGATGGAGGCCTTTGTCCCTGGCGAGATGCTCTCGGGCACCATGCTGGAGCTCCCCCAGGGCCAACCCATCCCCTCATGCTCTTCCCCCCCCTTACAGCTTGGGCTTTCAAAGGCGTGCGGCGGCTGCATACCGTGTACCAGGCAACAGAGCTGCCGGAGACCCACCGGATGCTTCGCCAAACGTGCCGGGACTTTGCCGAGAAGGAGCTGGCCCCCATCGCTGCCCAGCTGGATAAGGAGCATCGCTTTCCTGCAGAGCAGGTGAACTGGACTCTCTTCTTCCACACCTGGCTCGGGCCCATCTCCTGGTCGCCCCGGCCGGCCAAACAGAAAAGCATTTTTTTTTAAAACCCGGTGGCCTCAGGCCCTTAAATACAAGGATATCCAGACAGCTCTAGCTTTTAATGCTAAGCAGTCTCTGCCTTATTTCATTCTCTAGCTTCCTGTGGACAAGAAACTTAGGAAAGCCAAACTTTGGCCCCAATTCCTGCTTGCTTTGTTTTCATGCTTGGATCTGTGTGCTTCCTGCGTGGGTGGTTTTTTCCCTCCACCAATTGGGCAAAGGAGTATTTAATCATCATCTTCTTAGAACAGCAGAGCTGGAAGGGAGCCTCTGGATCACAAAGTCCAGCCCCTGGTCAAGGAGGCACCGAGGGGTGGGGGGAATTGAACTCCCCACCACTGGCTCCTCAGCCAGAGACCTAACCCACCAAGCTATTTAGCACCACGGGTCTCCGGAGTCTTCAGCGAGTGCAAAAGCGATCCAGAAATCATTGGGGAACCACAAAGCGTCCTTCCCACCAACAGTTATGCTCTCCTGCCCTTAAACATCTGTGCCCAGAATCGCTGAATTCTGCCACCTGTCCAAACCCCAGCCGTTCCTCTCCTTCTTGCCGTTTTGACTTGGCCGTTTCTGTAAGGCTTTCCTCTTGGTTGCTTCTTCAGCAGTCCACCACCTTGTAAGATCCTGCCTCGTCGATCTATCATCTATATAAAAAAACCTATTTCAGGTATTTTCTCACAACCATAAGGGCTAGGAACTTGATGTTTTAACTTAAAAACAAAGCAGGGAAGGGGAAAATGGAGCTGAACAGGAAGCTGCAGCCTGTGCTTCAGCCTCTCCCGCCTGCTGCGTATTTCAGCCCTTGGTGGGAGAGCAGGCAAACAGCTCAGCAAACAGCTTTTTTTAAACCACTGGCTCACACATAAGGCAGCTGCCCTTTATTATACCAGTCTCTTAACTCGCCAGCCACATAAAGCAGCAACACTCTCCGTGGCTGGGCCTGCTGTCGTGCTCCCCGCAGGGGAGAGACATTCTGTACCGTACCGTACGACAGACTAGATGCTTGCCCTCTTCTCCCTTGCAGTCTGTCGTCCAGTTCTTCTGCAGCTGGATGTCAGCCCAGATGTTTTGGGCTCCTGACCACTGGCCGTGCAGTGCCAGTGCAAAATGTCTGGCCAGCACCAGTTAGGGTTTCTTGCCAGCTGCCCCGAGCAACACTCCTTTGGGAAGGCGGCTATTCTCTTTTACAGTAAGTAGAAGGAGAGGCTGCACGCAGCTCATTGTGTGGATTTTGCCTGTTGTATAGCAATAAAGTAATGACGGTGATTCTACACTGCAGGAAGTAAACCTCCATTTTCGCTGGATGCACAGGGGGAAGTGCCACCGCGTTCCCTGCAGAATTGCTTGTCCTTGGGATTCCCCACCACCACCGCCACTGGAATAGGGCTTCTTCAGGCACTTTCTGATCCCCCCCTTCGCCGCCACCACCGGAATAGGGCTTCTTCAGGCACTTTCTGATCTCCTAAGCGGTGTTGCCATGTCGTCTTCTTCCCATTTTCCAGATCAAGAAAATGGGGGCCCTGGGACTCCTCGCCATGGATGTGCCCGAGAAATACGGGGGAGCCGGCCTCGACTACCTGGCCTATTCCATTGCTGTGGAGGAAATCAGCCGCGGCTGCGCCTCTACCGGCGTCGTCATGAGCGTCACAAACGTAAGGCCACCAGGGGCTGGTTTCTTCCCCTCTCTGCCATCGAGGCCGTTCTGTTGTGTCCTCTTGATGGTTGGGCCCGGAAAGCTAGGAAATCAGGCTGTTTACAGGCCGTTTTGTCTTTTTTAAAGTCCCTCTATTTAGGGCCAGTGTTGAAGTATGGGTCCGAGGAGCAGAAGCAGTGCTGGGTCACTCCTTTCACCAACGGAGACAAGATCGGATGCTTTGCCCTCAGTGAACCAGGTGACTGGCCCATGGCATTTTCCTTCCCCGTGTCTGGTCCCACAAGTCCACGTAGAGACGCCTGTTGGGTTTCCTGTCCCATTTGGATCCTCAACGCCTCCCTGGTCTTAAAGGTGGGGAAGTAGCACGCCCGTCTGTGTGCGCCATTCTGTTCTTAAAGAATGGAAAACAGGCCTCGGCAGGGCTCCATTCTGACCAGCGTAATTCGTGCGACTTTGTGCTCTAGTTTTGCAAACCATTGTCCTTTATCGCCAGAAATGTCACGACCTTGCACACGGTGAAGCTCTTCGAGACACATACAGGCACGCCCTTCAGCTTCCTGAACATCAGGCCGTCTCTAAAGACCCTGGAGCCACCACACGGCCTTGATAGCCAGTTCGGGAGACGAATCCGCAAGAGGGTGGGCCTTTTGAGTTCCTGAGCCGTTGCTCGGGCAAGACGGGACCTTTGGCAAGAGACAGAGGCCCACCTCGGAGTGATATACTCGGAGGTGCTTTTCTCAGCATTCCCTGATGGTCTCCCACGGACCACTTTGGCTTAGCTTCCCGAATCGCAAGACCAGCGTGTTCAGGGCCGTGTGGTGCTGTCGTGGCAATAACGCCAACCTTCAGTCCTCACAGATGTGGATTTCGCGGAATGAGTCTGGGTCCAAGAGATGGGCCCTTCCACAAGTGGGCCTCGGAGGGTCACAGCACCCCGAGGCACCGCCAAAGCCAACGCCGGGCCTCCCCGTCGCAGGTCCCGCTGGAAAGCTATTCAGCTCAGGGAGGTTCTTGCTTTTCTCTTGCATGGCCCCTCGCGAAGGAAACGGCAGTGATGCGGGAGCAGCCGCGACGGTAGCCAAGCTGGTGGGTGACCAGTGGATCCTGAACGGCACCAAAGCCTGGATCACCAATGCCTGGGAGGCGGCGGCGACGGTCGTGTTCGCCACGACGGACAAGTCCCTCAAACACAAGGTGGGCCTGCTGCACCCCAGGAGGATCCCTTGCTTGGGGCGCCTGAGCGGAAGGGTAGACCCGCCAAAGGTCTTCTCCTTTTTCTGTGAAGGCAGGCGAGGTGGGCGTGGGGGTGGGGCGTGCCCTTTGGTGAGTTTCCGTGGCTCAGCGGGGATTTGAACTCAGGTCTCCGGAGCCCTAGCCAGATGCTTGACCCACCACACCAGCTCATCACACTGAAACAAGTCTTCGTATTTTTGCTTCTTGCAACCATCATCCATGAAAAAAATAATTACTTTTTCTTTTTTTAAAAAAAAAAATCTTCCAACGAGGAAGAAGCCATTCAAATTCTTTTCAAAGAAGGACTGGAGATTTGCCAAACCCAAGTTTCCATCTTCTAATTGACCCCCCACTGTGATGTCGGGACCGAGCCACTGGTCAGTGTCAACGTGAGCGAACCCTGTACAGGTGAAGTGTTACAAAAATGGTCCCTCTCTCTCTTTTTTTCCCTGTAGGGCATTAGTGCCTTTCTTGTCCCCATGCCAACTCCCGGCCTGTCCTTGGGGAAAAAAGAGGACAAGCTGGGGATCAGGGCCTCATCCACGGCCAACCTGATCTTCGAGGACTGTGCCATCCCTAAAGCTAACCTCTTGGGAGATCTGGGAATGGGCTTCAAGATTGCCATGGTGAGTGAATATAATCCACCAGAGTTTGTGGAGGTGGGGTGGAGAGCTGCGACCTGGTGGCACCATCATCCACGGGTTACTAGCAGACCTGCCCCCCCCACCCTTTCCATGTAGCTTAAGACCCCGACGTTCCTTTAAAGTACAGGAGGAGGCAGTCCAGCATTTACACGAGGCTGCCCCACCCAAAAGCCAAGAACAATCTAGTTAGTCCTTTTTGGTATACTGTCGGACTCCCTTATCTGCGGGATCATTATCTGTTGATTTACTCATACATGGCCTGAAAACATTAAAAGAAAATTCCTAGAAATATGTATTTATAAAGAAGAAATTACCAGCACTGAGCATTAGAAGGAGCCAAAGACCACGCTAGGTAGAAGCCTTCACTATTAAAACAGTGTTTGCTATTATCTGCGTTTTTTCATATCCAAGAAGCTTTGAACCGATCCTTCATAGATATGGGGGTCCTTACTGCATTTATCTATTTGTTTAAATGATTCCAGGTCATCTTTTTAGGGCAAAAGGTCCTGAGGGTACATACTGTATAACAAAAATGATAAAACCGGAGTTGGGAGAACAGACAGCTCCCTTCCCTGCATTCTCCAGATACTTTAGGTCGGGGGAACCAAGCGTGACCCCAGCCATTTGCCGTTTCGGCGCATTCGTTCTATCCTGCCTCTCCTCGTCTGTTGCCGTCATTTTCAAGGGAAGCTCGGTCTCTGATCCTGCAGTCACTGCCCACTGCCAGGAAAGCTTCTGGCTGCCGGTGCATTCATTCTATCCTGCCTCTCCTCGTCTGTTGCTGTCATTTTCAAGGGAAGCCCCGTCTCTGATCCTGCAGTCGCTGCCCACTGCCAGGAAAGCTTCTGGCTGCTTCCAAAACCCCATGGGTAGGGGATTCCCTTGGCGTGGCCATTCCAAGCAGAGCAGAGGAGACAGGAGAAACAATCTGAAGGCTCCAGGCCTAAGCGACACGCCCCTTCTGATGTTTCTCACTTGCTCGCTGGTGAATTCTTCTTCTTTTCATTTACTATTCGATCTTGAGGGTGTACAACAGTTGAGCTCCTGAAGGTGCAAGAGGGGAAGAGAGCCTTGACAGCTCCAATGACTATGAACGATGGCAGGTCTTTAGAGCCTCTGCTTCTGCTCACGCAGCAGTTGAGATCTGCAAAGTGTTTCTCTTTCCCTTTAATAGTCTTGGGGGGAAAGACAGGGGTGTGAGAGAGAAGGACAGCAACGGAGAAAACAGCAATGACTTCTCTCCCTGCTCTATGTGGCCTGGGTGTTGGGCACATGGCTATTCTTTCCCCTCCAACTTTCTTCCAGCAAACCCTGGACTCTGGCAGGATCGGGATCGCCTCTCAAGCTTTGGGCATAGCCCAGGCAGCGCTTGACTGTGCCGTGGATTATGCGGAGAAGAGGATGGCCTTTGGGGCGCCCATCACAAAGCTGCAGGCCATTCAGGTATGGCAGGAGGCTGCGGGAGGAGCGCACCTTTACAAGCAGCTGGTCCCCGGAAGACCTTCCGGGTGTGTCTGAGCCTCGTGGCACAGTCGTTAAACGGCAGTCCTGCAGTCAAGCCTCTGTTCCACCCCGACAAGCTCAGGTAGCTGGCTTGAGGTTGACGTCGCCTCCTGAGGCCAGTAAAATGAGCACCTAGCTTGCTGGGGGTGGTGGGGTGGGGGGCAAGGCGTAGCCTGCATGATTAACTTGTAAACCACCCACAGAGAGTGCTTTAAGCACCACACTTTGCTTTTTTGCTTTGCTTTTTAAGACATATCAGAAGAAAAACTGGATGGATCTGGAATGTATGGGGCAGGCGGTGTGAGCCAGTTCAATGTGCGGCTGGTCAGAGCACCTTCAAGTGCTGGAAGCAGCAGCTTCCTGCCATCCTCCCTTCCCACTCACGCACGAGAGGCACCAACTGGCGGGGAAATTCCCCTGCACAAGCCCCGATGCTGCCCACGAAAGGGGCAGGCAGAAAAACAAGGGAACCTGCTTCAGTGGGGCTTACACCATGCACCGTTCCCAGTTATACGGACATCTCTCCCAGCCAACTGTTGACATTAAAGGTTTATGAATTAGGGCAGCTGGTTTCTCTTTTAAAGTGGTCAGGCACTGTGATTCATCCCAAAGTTACGTAGGAGTTGTGTCTCGCGGTGCAGTGGTTAAAACAGCAGCACTGCAGTGAAGACTCTGCTCATGTACCTGAGTTTAATCCTGATCGGCTCAGCCCTTCTATCCTTCTGAGATCGGTCAGTTGAGTACCTTACTCACGGGGAGAGGAAGGCAATGTGTCACCTGCATAATTAAATTGTAAACCACCCCGAGGGTGCTTTAAATGCCAGGGGTTGGTAGAGAAGCAGCATGCTTTGCTTCTTGCCTGTCAGATTCTTGTTCAAGCGGACTGTAGGGGATTGGTTTTTCCAGACATGTCAGCAATATCCAGGGAGGGGGATATTCAGCCGTCTTGATGTCCTGTGTCTGTAGTTCAAGCTGTCTGACATGGCCGTGGCCCTCGAGAGCGCTCGCCTGCTGACGTGGAGAGCAGCCATGTTGAAGGACAACGGGAAGCCCTACACCAAGGTAGCCCTTTACTTCTCGTTTCTTCACTCCTTTATACGCAAAGCTGCCTCCTCTCCCCCCACCCCTCAAAAAATTTTGCATGGCGATATGGACGCACGGAGTGGGTGCTGATAGTCTTGCAAGCAGGAGGCGGCACGGGCCGCTGCTTATTCTGGGAGCATCTGCCATGGCATGCCTCTTTCACAGAATCACAGAACCATAAAATCATGGAGTCAGAAGGGGCCCCCTAAGGACATCTAGCCCAACCCCCTGCTCAAGGCAGGAATCCAAATCAAAGCAGGTCTGACAGATGGGTGGCCTAGTTTTCTCTTGAAAGCCTCCATCATTCCCAAGGTCATTCATTCCACGGTTGTACTGCGCTAACAGTTAGGAAGTTTTTTTTCTGCATTCTGGGATGGTAGATGACGGGTCCTGCTCCTCCTCTGTACGACAGTCTTTTCAATTATTTGAAAAGTGCTCTCCTATCTCCCCCTTGGCCTTCTTTTCTCAAGTTCCTTCAGTTTTTCCTCTTAGGGCTTGCTTTCCAGTCCCCCGACCATCCTGGTTGCCCTTCTCCAAACTTGTTCCAATTTGTCAGCATCCTTCTTAAAGGCCAGCATCCAGAAATGGACACAGGACTCAAGAGGAAGCCTAACCAGTGCCAGATAAAGGGGGGCTAGCACCTCACGGGATTTGGAGTCTGTAATTCCGTTATTGCATCTTAAACCAATGAGCAACTGAACTCAAGTGGAATCCCTGTTTCCCAATAGGAAGCTGCAATGGCCAAGCTGGCAGCATCAGAGGCGGCAACCTTCATCTCTCATCAGGTAAGCATCATCATCTTTGTCCAGGACTCCCATTGGTTGAAGGGGACGGGGTGGCACTGCAGGTGAAACTGCAGAAGCCTCTGTGCTGCAAGATCAGAAGCCCAGCCATCGTAAGATCAAATCCACGTGATGGAGTGCGCTCCCGTCACTTGTCCCAGCTCCTACCACCCTAGCAGTTCAAAAGCATGTAAAAATGCGAGTAGATAAATAGGTACCACCTCGATGGGAAGATAACGGTGTTACATGTCTAGTCGCGCTGGCCATGTGACCACAGAAACGGACTTCAGAGAAATGCTGGCTCTACGGCTTGGAGACGGGGATGAGCACTGTGCCCTAGAGTCGGACACGACTGGACTCAATGTCAAGGGGAACCTTTGCCTTTACCCATCGGTTGACCGACCATGACATCTCTTCAGTCATCCTCAGGGCTCCTGTGTGGAAGCAACACTACATTCAGCCATCACGGGAAACCAGCTGTCTCCTCCTGTTCCGATGGCACCTGCTTCCTTACTTCCCCTGGCCTTGCAGCCACAGCTTCAGGGAAAGGGCCTTTGCTGACACTCACAGATGCTTTTCTTCTAGGCAATCCAGATCCTGGGCGGGATGGGTTACGTGGCTGAGATGCCGGCTGAGCGCCACTACCGCGATGCCCGCATCACAGAGATCTACGAGGGAACCAGCGAGATCCAGAGGCTGGTGATTGCAGGGCAGCTGCTGAAAGCCTATCGAGGCTGAAGGGCAGCGTGTGGGTGTGGAGAGGAGATCCTGGTGCCATCTCCTCCTGCTGGCCTCCTTGCACAAAAGCCTTTGCCCTCGGTGTCATCGTCGGCAGAAGAGCCAGCAGGCCGACGCTGTGCTCGCGGGCTACCTGCAGGAGTGACGGTCAGCTGGCCAAAACCCCTGCAGGGAGGACAGCCGCCGACACACTGGGCTGGTCCTTCTTTCCAAGAAAGAGCATGTCGTAAGACTCAGTATCGTACCGTGAGACCACCGTTTGGCCTGGAGGGGGCGGTTAAACTTGTCACATGCAGGGGAACGAGGGGCTTGAACAGGAACCATCCCTCCCCTGGCGTTACATTGTGCCTTATATACAGTCAAGGAATAATTGCACTACGAAAGAGAAGCTTGATTCTTCCCGCAGCAATGCTCTGCGGCTTCCAGGTGTTGTGTAATGAATTTTCAAATACTGAACCATGCTCTGTGTGAAGTATTAACTTGAACTGTTTCCAGGGGAGAGGAAGGAAGGAAAGGGCTGTGCTCTTTGGGGTTGCTAGCATGAAGGAATGTAGCGTGGGGTGGGGTGCTGAAGCCGTCACTCGTCTGCTGGAAAGAGGGAGCCCTTTCACCCCACCAGCAACGAATACAACGTCCCTGTGGGGATTGTCCTTCCTTCCCAGAGCAGCTTTCTGCTGCAGGATTTGGGCCAACCGAACCATTTAGGCCCACACGGATGGAGCAGCTGCTCCTCTCAGGGGACGGCCGAGAGAAGAAAGCCGAGGCCTCTCTTTCCGCTCCGCTCCTTGGCAGTCAGGGATGGAGGGGGGTGGGCAACGTGCAGGTGTTCCTCCTGCACTGCTCTGCAGACAGGCGGCTGGTCCCTGGCCGCAGCTGCTGCTGTCCCTGGCTTTCCCAGGTGCCCACCCGTCACTCCTGGTGAGAGAGGAGCCCTCCTGCAGGTGGCAGGCGGGGGGGGCTGGCTGGCTGGCTTTTGGGTGCAGCTGGGAAGGAGGTGTGCCTGGCGCCTGTTCTTTGGTTCCCCTTCCCATGGCTGGCAGGCAGAGCTACAAGAGGTGGGGGGGGGAGGGATTAGGCAATGGTGTTGCAACTCGGAGACACACGCATTTTCAAGAATGGGAGAGACCGGGTCCTCCTGCCGACCACAGCAGATGAGGCTGCCGGGCCTTCCATTTTCCCAGCTCTGGAAAGAGAAACGGGGGACGGGGAGGACAGAGTTCCCCCTTCCAACCCAGAACCCAAATCAGACTCCGGCTGAGCGCCACTACCGCGGCGGAAGTTAGCACGCCGGGCACTGCTCCCTGGAGGTCCCAGCTGCCCTGTCTACCATAGGCGAGGGCAGCCGGCCCTTGCACCCGAGGACCTGACCCATTCTAAGGCACCACAGCCGCAGGATGCAGGGCGGTCCCCGCAGGCAGGCAGCCAGATGCGGACGCAGAAAGAGCCCCTGGCGCTCTCTCATCCCCATTGCCCTCTCTCTGGCCTCATAAGTGCTCCTGTCACTTGGCTTTGCCTCGGAGGAATGAAACAAACAACCGTCGCAGGATGATGCCTCTGGGCCTGCCAGAACGGATTTTGAGTGGCTGGCGGCCACCTCCAAAGAAGACAGTCGTTAATTCATGCAAGTAGACCAAGACCTTCTGCGCAATCTTGGTGAACAGCCTTAAGGAGCTGCGTTGCTTGCTGTGAGTCTTTTACTGCTAGTTCTGAATAAAAAGCCACGCTGGGGTGGGGTGGGGGTGGGGGTGGGAAATCAACCAAATGACGAGGGCAGCCGCGCTAGTCCTGACATTCGGGTTGCAAAAGTGTGGGTAAAGTTTCCTTTTACCAAGATTTCCAGCATTTGTTCTAAGAAAGCCCTCTAGAAACTGCACCCTCAGCAGAGCTTAGGCCTCTGAAGACAGTTGTGTTTCTTCAGCGTTGCAGAGAACATGAGCCACAAAAGGGTTTGTCCCCACAAAGCAAAATTGGCGTCTTATGGAGGCGACGAGGGCTGTAATTTCAGACGTAAACACAGCCCGGCGAGAATTTGCCATGTAGCGTTTTGCCTCTCTCATATTTTCCCTTCGACGTTTGCCAAGCATCCTAGGACTACAAAGCTTTTAAAAAGGATCAAGGAAACAGGCCCTGAGAGCCAATACTATAATTCCCTATAATTTCCTCACAGGTAGTTTCAAAAATTGAGAACTATAAGTAGCAAATTGATGGGTACTTTGCAAGGTGCTCGTGCATAAACTCACTGTGCAATAACTAGGGTACATTCCACTCCTCTATAACTGGATTCGAAGCTGCTGGATTTAAATTATTTTTGGAAAATACCCCCAACTCTGATAGGTAGGCTTTAAATAGAAGATATAAATATAATGAAATAAATATTTTTAGGAGGTTCAAGCCTAACCGATGGCAGAGCCAGCTTCCAAAGCCCCCAGTGATGTTACTAAGCAGGTCCATGACCTTCTTCTCTGCCCAAAGTGGTTGGGGATCCACGCCGTTCCCCTGCTTGCTTGCCAGGCCTTCTGCTGTGAAGGAAAAGGGGAAAGGACAGCCCCAGACAATGGCTCTGCTCTAGGCGTGGGCCCCAAAGGGCTCCTCAGCACTCACACCACCGGCATCTCTGGACCGGTTTCTGACATCCACCGTTACCACGTCGTGTCTTCGTCGGAACTCCAATCGATGCCCCTGGAAAAATGCAGCCGTCGTGTCGTTTCATCCAGACAGCTCTTGCGGAACGAGATGTCTATGAATGGATCCGCAACCACATCTTCGTGACCATTTCTTTTTAATGCTGTCCTTGATCAGCTCTGAAAATGAGCCAGGAGACCTGCCACCACCTCCTCTACCTGCACGTAGGTGGCAACAGCAAAGAGGAAATGGGTGGCTGACGCCGAGAGGGGCCGTCAAAGCCCTTCCCTTCCCCGTGAAGGGATGTCTGTGAATCTTTGGGGCCCTTTCTTGCTTTCTTGTCATCTTTTGCTGAGCAGCCCCCCAAGTGCATGACCTACATGCTTTCCATCCTGGGCTGTTAGGACCCTCAGCTGAAGAATTTGAGGAGGAGCAATGAAAACGAAAGAAAAGAGGCTCCGATTTTCCTTTCTTGTATGCTCTTGTATTCCCCTTTCACACCTGCAACGCTCTCTGAAGCTGTGGCTGATTTTGCTCCTTCCCTTCAGGAAAACCCTACTTCCATACAGGTGGCCCAACGAAATGTGACTTCAATTACATCACACATTTAAAAGCCGGCCAAGACATCCCGAAGTTCCTCTCGGAGGGAGATGCGCCGTCAGCCATTCCTGGTTCACCAACCAAACGAAATGATAGCATTCTTTTGTAAAGCAACAGCAATAGAAGGAATCGCACCAGCCATCCTAGTCCGTCTCTACTGGATCTGAGCAGGGACCCAAACACAATTTGCAACACATTCCATGGAACCAAAAGAAGGAAGAAGAAAAGGCTCTCAGTAACAGGTATACCTTTTCAAAATGTGCCATGAGAAATGCACACACTTCTAACATTTGCACACACTTTAGTCACTGGGTACACATGTCCCCAAAATGCATACAACTGACAAGATACACAGGAAAATGTGTTTTCAATTCTGTCGGGGGGGGGGAGAGGAACAATCTGTAGGAATCAAGTGGGATGCAGGGGAAGAGAGTTTGACTGATCCACCCATTCTTCCTCTGTGACCTATTCAAATGGATTTATCCCTTTCCACTACATGTTGGATATGACATGTCTGTAAAACGGAGGGCCCGTCTGTCCACAAGGTGAGCCAACAAGAACTCATGTGTAAGGCAGGATAACGCAGTCTTTGACTCAAGTCAATTAAGCATAAAACATTACAGAGAAATCCATGCAGGCATTCCATAAAACGGTTTAAGCTTCCTATCCAAATATCCGGCCACACTTCTCCGGCTATAGTCAAAAGGAATCAATTTCAAAGTTCCAGTCTTGTTCTCCCTGTTAATGGAAAACTGCAATGGCTAACATTTCAGCTTCTAGACAGTGATATACTATGAGGACGGGAGGCATGGACCTTTTGCACAAGCTAAGCAGGTTTGAGATGGATCAGTTTCAGCAGAAAAGGTGGCCTGGAAAACCGATGGGTGCCCCCCCCCTTTCAATTCCATGATGGAAGAACTAGCAGATGGATGTATAAAACAGAAGATCCGCTCCCCACACATTTTACTCAATACCCCCTGGTCCCGCATCTCCCCAAAAAGGAGCTGTCCAGCCCACCTAAGGGAGGCCTAAACAGCATCCAACCGCCTCTTGCACGAGGCAGCCCGAGAGGTGCAAAAGCTGGAAGCAGGAAGGGGGAGAAAAAAAGAGTCTTATTAGATTTAAGGAGACTCCTCGTCTGAGAGGACTGCAGGAAGCCGGTCCCACCATCTCGGGCGTTCCCCAAAAGAGAGCTCGTGGAAAAAGGTGGCATTTCAGCATTTCACAGGCTTTTAAAACACAACAAAGAAGAACCGGGTGTTTCGACAAGAGAAAGAGGATCCTGAGAACTTTTGAAAGAGCTGATATTTCAGAGTGAAAAGAACATGACCAGGACAAATGGTTTAGAAAAGTCCACGTTTTAAGAGACTTCTGGGTACAAAGCAGTTCATCACAAACTTTGACCAATCACAACAGCAGAGGACAAGGGTTCTCGCCTGCTCTTGCCTTCTATCTCTCGCTCTCTTTTTTTCCTTTTCTTTTTTTTAAACGTTGGGGGGAAAAGGGGGATGGGAAAATACAGCACACTAATGAAACAATGCAAAAAAAATAATACAAAAAATAGAAAATAGAAAAAAATGTATTTACAAGTCATACATTACTATGATCAGAACACACGAAGACAACGGCTGCTATAATACATGCACAGGGCCAAGAAAGGAGCTACTAAAAACCTGTAGTGGAGTAGTTGTGGGGGGGTGGGGGGGAGAGAACAAACCCACAAACGAAAAAGGGGGAAAGGAAACCAAGGGCTTCAGCAGTCTCCCTCCCCCTAACGTTTGCTACACTGATTGAAAAAAATAAAAATAAAAATAAAATAATCCCCTAAAATCCAGGAGTACACTCAGTACAAAATACTACACTTTTTTTTAACTGAAGCTTCACTCATTGGGGGGGGGGATTATGGGGGAGAGGGAAAGACAGCAGCGTATTTTTGCAGATCCATATACAAGAAAGCCATAGTAAACTGCTCTACATGCTAAGAAGTACAGCAAGCTCCTGTCAGCTAAAAAGCATGATCCTAGCAGGTGTTTTTTTCTTTTCTTTTCTTCCTTCGCAGTTATTCACACACGCACACAGGGGTGTGTGTTTGGATGAACACTCTTCTAGATGTGCATGTGTGTCTGCGTGTGCGTGCGGGTGTGTGTGTGTACGTGTAGAAAAGTCGTGCCCTTTATATTCACCTGCAACATGACATCTGGGTGGAAATGTACGTCGTTACAACAAAGTCTTTTTATACGGTGTACTGCGAGAAGTTACTCCATGTCTGTGGATTTAATAAGTCACCTCACACCACAGAAAATATTTAATAAATTCAAAAGGGAGGGGAAAAAAGATTATAGTGACAGAAGAACTTCTGTCTCGGTTCTCTCTGAAATCAGAGTCCAAGAGGAGAAAAATAAGAACCCAGGTTCCACAGTCCGTGAAGGGTTTTCCCCCCCGAGAACCTCCGAGTGCAGCAGACCTTGACGCAGATCGTGTTCACAAGTTCTTCAACGACTCTGCGCCGTTTGCGCCCTCAATGTGTCTGTCTCCTCCTCCCCTGGGGAACGCCCGATGGTCTGGCACTCGTCCGTAAAGAGGAGGAGGAGGAGGAGGAGGAGGAGAGGAAGGGGAAGGTGGGCTGCCTTTGCAAACCGGCCTCCAGTTCCAAAGTAGGGAAGGAAGAAGGAAGGGAGGAAGGAAGGAAGGAAGGAGAAAAGCCTTCCCCCTCACACACTCCTTTGCTCTTTCCTCCTCGTGATACAGAAAATCCATTTGTAACATATTCCACCGTCTGGAAATTCTCCCGAGTACCAGCCCAGCCTCAGGGACGGACAACCAAGCTGAGATCCAGAAGAAGGACCAGGCAGACGTTGCGGTCACTTTGCCCCCTGGGTTCCATCATACCTCTAAGAAACGGGAGCTGCTGGGCTTGGAGTGGAAGGGTTCAGACCACATGCGACGCAGATCGCCCTGCGAAAAAGCACCGGAAGGGGAAGGGGAAAGAGAGAGGAAAAAATCCAAGTCACACCCCAGACAGGCTGCAATCATCTCTCGCCCTACCTCAGGATCCTGCTCCTTCTGTGAGACAGAAGGCCAGGATAGGCTCCTTCAGATCAGTAAGTAAATCCGCCACCTCCACAGGCTGGTCTTCCAGCAGGCAGCGGGATCTTTCACAGACACCCACGGTGATACGTGCCCACTTGGGACCTGCCCCCGAATCGGACGGGCCCAAGTTTTCTCCCAGACTCAAGTCCTCCGGGTCTTACCTTTAAATAGGCCATTGTGAGGAGTGGCAATAAGGTGAAGGGTACCAGGTAGAGCAACGCCGGCTGGGCTGCCCGGTGGATGCGAGAAGCAACCGTTGCTGTTAAGAGCCCTGGGAGAGAGGAAGAGGGGAGAGAAACCCTTCATGAGGCCCGGCAGATGTCCAGGGTTGCTGGCAGCCTCCAGAGGACAGGGCAGGGCCGGGAGGGGTCTGCATGGGCTCCTCTGTGGTCTTCAGTCCCAGCACTGCAGAAATGTCCTCTCTGCGCAAGGAAGGGGGAAGGAGAGATTTCGCCCAGCCAGCTGCTGGGCTAAGTCCAAAGTGGGCAACTCTGCTCTTCCTAAACCTCCGCTTTCATCGTCCGCAGGAGGTTTCAGAGCACCAGGCTAGGTTACCCAGCAGACCGGCAGGAGGGCCTTTCCTACACATTTCCCCAAAAAAGGTCCCCGAGTCCCTGCCGCCCCCCCCCCATTTTTTTGCTTCTCCAAAAACCGCTTTCACTTTCTCCCAAATCTCTTCTTTGCAAAAGAAGGAATCCTATGAATAAGGCACCACCCTCTGGAACCAGTAACGGCATCAGACGTAGGCTGTCGTTCTCAACATTTTTATGGATCTCTTATTTTTTCAGACTGCCTTTCTCCCAATAAAGGGGCTTTTTTTCCCTCCCCTCTTTTAGGCTACCTGGCAGTTCCAAATCTACCGCTGACAGCTCGTCTGGGGGAGCCACTTGTAGGGCTAGTTGAGTCGGTCAGTGGGGCTAAGATAAACTGGGTTTCACCAGAGCCTTAAGAGACTGTCCAGGTCTCTCGGTCAGCCAGAGGTTGGGTCAAGAGCCTGCCCAGCCCTGCCGAGACGCAGGCTCGAGAGAGGAGGCAGACAGACAGACACAGCTGGCTGCAGTTCCAACAGAGGTTGTAAACCATCTGTAACAGAGGGACGTGTTTCACGATTTCAGTCACCTGCCCCCCAACCCCCCCCTCTTACCTACAAAGTATCCAATGAGGGTGCAGTGAAAGTAGGAGACCTTCTGCATGCGGCCGGAGATGTTGCCTTGCCCTGGCGTCCCGCAGGAATCGCTGTTGGCTTGCTTCTTGTAGTTGTCGTAACGCAGGACGAAGCAGAGCAGGAGGCCTGGCATCACAATGTCTCCGATTCCCAGCATGGAGAAGTGGCTGCCGGTGGAACTGGAGGACGAGTGAGGTGTGTGTGTGTGTGTCCGCCTGCGCCCTCCACCCCGGCCAGCCTCCTCAGTGGCCTCCCACTGAGCCCCAGAGCGAAGGGCCTTCTGGGCCGGGACTCCAGGCCGCCTCCCGAGAGGGCAAGAAGAGCAGCCCCCCCCTCGAGGTGGCCCCAAACCTCCCTGGTTTCTCCTTCCAAAGGGGCCTAAACCGCTCTCCAGAAGAGAAAGGCCAAGGAAGCCCCCCCAGGGGACCGAGAAACGTCGTCCTACCTCGGAAAGACAAGTTTGCCGGGCAGGGACAAGCGGGGGACGTCTCGACCAACGTTTGGTCCAAGGTGAAGCTTCCGGGACAGAACGTCGAGGGGGTTGTCCGCAGGCTGGGTGGCCACTTTCACCATGACGTTGCTATTGAAGATGTAGGCCGAGAAGAACACCTGGGAGAGGCAGAGCCAGGGCAGAAGGGCACGTCAAGGGGGCCCCGCCTTCCCTCCTGAGCCAGCCCGGGACCCCCACAGCAGGCCAAGCCTGGAGAATGACAGATGCGGCGAAGACCCAAGGAGCTGGCAGTGGTGGCAGTGGTGACACAGGGACTGTGCAGCTGCCCAAAAGGGGAAACAACCACCTCTACCACCTCCTCCCTTTGTGCCGGCAAGGAGGACACAGGCAAAAAGAGCATCCCCCCCAGGACCAGCAACCCCCCATGCCCAGTGACGTAGGATCCACTGCTGCAGATTCCCCACCGGGCAAAAAGAGCATCCCCCCTCCCCCAGGACCAGCAACACCCCATGCCCAGTAACGTAGGATCCACTGCTGCAGATTCCCCGCCACCACCACCAGAGAAGACTCTTCACAAAAGGCAGGCAGGGAGAGCAGTAAAGGCAACCCCCCCCCCACCGATGAGACCAGCAGAGAGGCCCTCCGGGACGGAGACCCTGGCCAACTTCCCTCCCACCAGCTAGACAGACCTTGGAGGGAAAAGAAGGAAACTCCAGCTGGCTTTGTTAACAAGGAGGCAATGGACACCAGGCGTCCTTATGGACAACTGACCCTGTCCCCTCCAGAGGCGGCACTTGGGACCACCCAGGTCTCGTGGCCAATAACATCCCTCCAGCGCAAGGGAGCGGCTCCCTCATGGCCACCAAGAGCCCGACTACAGGAGTGGGCAAGTTCTGGCAGAAAGCACAGGACCAGGCACGGTTCATACCATCTGCTCAGTGCTGCCCTCAAGACCTGAGGGAGGGAGGGATGGGAGGATGTTTAGAGGACTCAAAGGCCAGAATCCTACAAAACTCTTATGCCAGCACATGAATTTGCACAAACCATTGCAGGTGAATTGCAGCTAATTAACAAGGTGCCGGTCACGTGCCTGGGCACCCCACCCGCACCTTGTTAGTTAGCAGCAATTCACCCATGCAACATTTCTGAATTCACTTACACCAATATAAAATCCTGATAGGATACAAGCATCCATGGTTTAACTGCAGCCCTAAGACTTTCCTACAGTACATAAATAGTCTAAACAGACAAGTAACTCCTCCTCAGAGAGGCAGGAGGTTCCTAAGCCAGCTCAAGCCGGTGCTTGTGAAGGTGTAGGTATTCAAGGCAGATTCTCTGCCCCCAGGAACAAGAGAGGGGGTGGTGGTCTTCATGACATGTTTCCTGTGCTAACAACATACTTGAGAAGGTCACAGAAGTGACAGACAAGGGCGGGGGAGTCAGGTATCACAGCTAAAATGAAAAAGAATTCTAAGGACCTTTAGATGCAGCCACGCAATGGGTGGGCAACCCCACAGGAAGATGAACCCCGTGACGCCAAGCAGCAACATTTCAAGATACCAAGGCCAGCCCATCTCCAGGACGGAAGAACCGTTCTCACCCGGTTCAAGGAATTATGCACAGAAATGCAAAACTCACCCAGAAGACGTCATAAATTAACAGCCCCGAGAGCAGCAGGCAAGAAACCTTCAGGCTCGGCAACCGGACGAAGGCGATCATGGCGACGCACAGGCCCATGGCCAGGGCTGCAAGAAACGGATGCAGAGAAAAGGGCCAGGTCACTGCACGAGGGGGGAGCAAGGCTTACGGATGCAGACAGACAAGGACTTGGCCCAGACAGAAATATTGGGGGGGGGGGAGGGCGCTACCTCTCAGAGGTAAAGTCATAGCTAAGGAGGCAACTTTAAAAGTAGGGGCAGTGGGGCCAGGATCTGCTCCCAGGATCCCTCTCAGCCGTATCTTCTTGGGAAGAGACATTTCACTGTGTCGTGGTCAACACATCTTGAGTCAGCTGCGCAAACCAACCTCGGGCACACACAATAAGTCACAGGCATCTCGGAAGACACTTCTCTGTATTAAGCTCTCAAAAATTCTGGATGGCTTTTGGCCAAAAATAAAAAATAAAACAGGGGAGAGCCAGGAAATGTTTTCTCTTCCAAGCATGAAAAGCAGAAATACACCTACATCAGCCTCTGAAAACCAGATATCAGGTCCGATCAAAAGGACAAACTTAAGAGCAAAGAGGGTTCGTGATCGGGTCCAGGAACCTGCAAATGCCCAGTTTACACACAGCAGCACTAAAAATCCCCGCCACTCAGTATTTACTGGAATATTCCACATTGCTCAGTAGCATTTTGGCAAGATTCGAACATGATTTTACGTGAGGGGGATTCAAGATGACAATCAGTACGAAACTGCACACCAACCTGTACAGAAACGGGGAATGGTGGGACTCGTGAGGTATTAATCCTCCATGTCTGAAGACTTACTCGCCTGCTCCTGCCTCATGCAGAAAGATCAGGGGAATGCCATAGTCATAACAGAACGTTCAGCACCAGCCAGCAGGGACGCCCGAGCAGATTCAGTTTAGATCCAGAGTCGAGCCACAAAAGATGGGGGGGGGCTAACCTGCCCCTTTGGCCAACAGAGAAAGACTGGGGGGGGGGCTTTTTGCAAGAAACCAAACCATGACAAGCCCAAGAAAAGCCCTTCTCCAGACCTTGGCTCTGCCCATGACAACCCGCCTGCTCTTAAGCCTCACGACGGCATATGTCATGCAAGGCAGAGTTGGGAAGCCTGGGATTCCCGGCCCTTTCCTTCGGCCCCGTGGCCTCTCCTGGATTCCCCAAGGCCACCTCAAAACAACCAGCGATTCTCCATTACAACAAGAGACCAGGCTTTGAGGTTGCTCACGGTGGTATTTTTATACCTCTGCTTTGGAAAAAAGATGTGAATTTGCAGTCACTTCTGGTTTTGAAAGAAAGAAAGGGAAACTGATCAGTCAGGAGCCGACATGGATGGCACGGGGCTCTGGGGGCACATTTTGCCTATCCTGGGCAGCTGACCCCCACGGCTGAGGACTCGAACACGCTACAAGCGAAGGTGCCTCTGAAACTGGCCCGTGGGGCCAAGGTGGGAGGAAAAAGAGCAGAGACGGACATGCTGGGTGGGCACCCCCTTCTCCAGGAGATGCCCCCAGACTCAGAGAGAGGAGGAAGGAGACAGCCAAGGAAGGCCACCCTCAGTGGCAGCGCCTCCAAGGCAGAAACTGCCTCCCGGGGAGTTCGTGACCAGGAACTGAGCTCCAGCAACGTTTAGCAACAGGCCAAGCACCACCGCCTTCCTGGGGGGGCGCTTCATTGTTTTCAGCTGCAGGCAGCAGCAAAGGAGGATACGATGGACTCTCCCCCCCCCCGGAAAGCGCAGAGCCGTCCCACCCAGAGCAGGTGCTGCTGAGCCTGGTGGACAGGCCAGGTCAGTCTGTCTTCTATATTCCCAGCCTGTTTATTTTTAGCTGGCTTTACTGTTTACCTGCCTGGCTAAGCTGCTTGGAGAAACGCTGCTCCTAAAGCAGCCTAGAAACTGATTTCAATAAATTGCTTTTATAAATATTAGTGCCTGGATACCAGCAGAAGAAGCTTCCTGCCAGAGAATTAATAAGGGCCAGCAGATGCACGCCTTCTCCCTGTTGCCTATCAGCCCCAGCAGAGGCATCACCGTGTAACTCATTCCTGCAGAAGTGACAGTGCTTTCCTAACACGAAGACTTGTCCGTGTCGTCCACCAAAGCCGTGCAAGCAACAGGCGGGAGAGGAAATATGCCCCCCCCCAGGACACGGCTCCCACTTCCTCTGCCGAGAGCTTCCGTTCTGCCTCTCGCTGTCCAATTTCAGCAAAAGCGAGAAGGCCCACGAACGCAGCCCTGTGGCCCCTTCCAGCACAGTGAGGCTAATAAACTTTGCTTCGCTTCTGAGACTATGACATTTTACGCACCCGGTGGCATAAGTCGCAGCTTTAAACACTGAGCTTAGCAAAGCAAATCGTTTTTGATGGCCAGTGCCTCCCTCTAGTCCAACTCGGAGGCTCCCACCACCTGGCGCTGAAAACCACCCACACCCAAAGCTGCAGACTCAGTCATTGGACATACAAACCCTCAGGATCCTTTCCGTGGAGCACAACAGCAGCCAAGAAAATTCCGACTTTCCTAGCGCCCTCGTTTAGGTCTTTCCTAACGCTGGCTCAAAGTGAGAACTCTGAGCAGAAGGGTTTCCAGCGTTGTGAACAGTTTGGGGGACATTCCCTTATTCATTAGTGTTCCAACTATTAAGCCTTAATTTCATACAAACAACACTGGTCTCCCTTGAGGCAAGCAACACAGCTACCATTATTATTGTCCTTTTAAACATCCTCAAATTTTTTAATTAAGAATCAAGTATGTCAGAATCCCTCTCAGAATTTAAAAAAAAAAGGCTGCTTCAAAATTAATTTTAACCCCTTTTCACTGGTAGCAGCAGCACCTTCTTGATAATATTCTGCTTCTCCAGTAAGGCGCTCTGGAAAAACAAAGTGTTTTTCATGGCAGTCTGTGCAACCACTGGACAGCTGATACTAAATCATCAGGTACGAGGAAAGCCAAAGGATGGCATGACTGGGGGCCCCATCATGTGACCTCGTCTGATGCACAAAATCCAGAATTGCAGCTGTAGAAGGAGTAACTGTGTTGGTCTGTGCAAGAATTATAGGTAAAAAGCAACACAGAAATAAGAAGTAAAGAGTAACTTTTACATTTTTAATGCAAGCTCCTGTCCATGAAAGCTCACATTAAAAAGTTAGTTTTTAAGGATGCCCCCATGTTGTTGCTGTTGTTTCTTTTATTCTTTTCATTTCTATTTTGCTTTTTTTAACCTATAAAAATCCAGAAGGAGAGCACTGCTATAGGTAGCTATCCACAGCCTCTGACGGATCCTCTGTCTCGCTGCTCTTTGGTCTTCTGCTTCCTTAAACGGTAAGAGCAGCCTGACCGTGATTGTCTTTTGGGGGGAGGATGATGGGAGGAGAGGCTTCAGAGCATCTGTCTGAAGACCAGCCACAACCACCCTCTCCTCATGCTATTGTCAAGCTGCTCTTACCTGTCAAGAAAACAAGATAAAAGAGCAGCGAGGCAAACGACTCCAATAGAGATGCAGTGGGCAGCCTCCTTTCTGACTAGTGAATTTGGCCCTCAGGAAATAATAAACTTACCGCAACACCCCATTTGGGACTTCCTTCCTTATACAGCACACACACACACACAAACACATGCACTGCTACAGGAACGAATCATCAAGTCCACTTTGAGTAAAGGATCCAGGAAGGGTTCCCCTCTGCCATTTTTTGGCACAGATATGCCACCCGGTTTCCAGAAGGAGCTGTACTTACCGTCCATGAGCAGCCAGTGCCCTGTTAATACCCAGATCAGGACAAGCATGACAGACAGAGAGAAGGAGAGCAGCTCAGCGGCCGTGAAGCGTCCACAGCAGCCGAAAGAAATCCTGGAAAACAGAGTCCACGTTTAAGGCTCGCTCTTCCATGAAATAAGGTGGAAAACGTACACGGGGCCAGGGTCGAACAACCCTAGAGAATGGGGAAAGGCCGGACCGACAAAGGTTTCGTCCCGTGATGGTCAGCAAAGGGCAGCAACTCATGGCAGGGTTTCACAGCAAGGTCTCTATGCAGACAGGGATTTGGTTGAGAAAACAGCGTGACACCCATTTCAACATTACCAGCTAGGCTCACCCCTCTCTCTCCCTCTCTCTGATACTCCCCTCACCACGTTTGAAACCATTCCGTTGCTGATTAGGGTTAGGGTTCCAATTACTTGGGACCCACCCTGGGGGCTAAGGAGGGCATTAGTACTCTATTGCCAATCTCTTGGTGTTTTGAATAGGCTGAAAACAGCCAAATGTTCTGCCTGCCACCAACGAGAACACACTGGGAGGTTTGGCCTTAACGGGACAGAGAAAAACGCCAAGGCAAGCGAGTCACATTTTCTCCCAGCTTCTCCCGTTGTCTGTGGAGTGGAAGGAAGCCTTCCATCCTAAAAGTAGGGGAAAGGAGCTAAGTGAGGAATCCCAAAAGAAAAGCCTCACATCTCCTTGTGTCTTGGGGGAAGCAGGGGTGAGGCTCTGGCAGCTCCTACTCTCAGGCTTCAGACTCTGTTCAAAGGATCTGCTGGATCAACATTTTTGCTCTACCTGCTGTGGGCCCTGCAGGCTCCCTCCCCACTTGCCCATCCAGCTCTAACAGAATCCATGGCCTGTGGACTGGGGCTGCTTTGGACTTTGTGTCTTGCCTGCTCCTTGACTACCGATGTCCCCCAAACCCTGTAAATGACCCTGGCCTCCTCCTGACTGTGCTTCTCTCGCCTACCCAGTCAGGATAGCAATGCCATCTTATCTTGTAGTGCTCTGACCTTGTGACGTTGCAGTTTTAAGACTCTAGACCCCCAGAGGGACAGTCACTTACCCTCACTTCCCCACGCTGTGCCAAAACAGGACAGGGCGTAGGAATGGGAGGGGGGGCAAAACACCAGCAGCTGTTTCTGGAGTGCACAGATCCGGGATCCTCTCTGCAGGGCCGATGCACGGAAAGCACAGGACACCCTACTCAAACCATCTCCCGACAAGCACTCCCAGCCATTCTGGTTGGGTCTTTGCACAAGACAGAAGAGAAGCAAGATTCTTTAACTACTTACTTGTTTTGAGGGGAACAGGGGCGTGTTAAATACTGGCACATCGGGAGCAGAAGGAAAGCAAAGGCTATTGTAGCAAGGACTAGAGAAAGGGAGAGAGAGAAAAAAAGAAAAGGCAAACGTTAGCACTGCCCTCCCCTTTCAAGTTCCCCCCACCCTGGGGGGGGGGAAACAATATATCATCAGGTACAACTGGGAGGCCACACAAACAGGAATCAAACATCTTTTTTTATTCGCTCTCAGTAAACTGTAACTATGAAACAAATATGGTCCTAAAAGGAGAAAAGCCCACATGTGACACTCAAGACAGGACTTGGAAGGCTGCCCCAAAGTATTTCAGTCTGGCTAAGATCTTCCAAAATGCCACATTTTTGTTATTGGCCAAGGATGTGAGACGCAGAGCTGCAGAGACGACTTTCCATGGGTAAAACATTCATGTATCAACCCATACTGAGCATCATTCGCAGGAAAAGTTCCGCAGCGGAAGCCCCTTTGAAAGAGGCAGGAATCTGCGCTCATGCCCAAGCCCTACGTATTCAGATGGCCCGTGTGTGACAGTCCTTGTTTGAGGGCAGAGCCACTCAAAACACCCAGGAGCTTGGAGAAACGAGAGAAGCTGAAGGGAAAAAAAAGGGAAATGCCTAAAATTGAAATGAACATACTTCCAAAACAACAAAAACTGCACATTTCTCTCTCTTTCTCTCTCTCTCCAAGACTGGAAAGTGGGATATCTTTGCTTCTCCCAGTTACCTTTTAACATAATTTGGAATAAATTTATTCGTCAAGCCTGGAAACACATATTTAAGGCAGAAACTACATTAAACAACTAATTCTCAGATGGAACTCTGTAGTAAGAATCCTGGTTGTTGTGTAAAAAAACAAAAGAAGAAAAGGTAAGCGTAGAGACAAAATTTACCTGCTGTGCATATTGTGAAGACCACCTGAACGGAGTCAAAGAAGAAGAACATGACTAAGAGAGACACAGAAGCACCGATCGGAAGGAACAGCGCCTGGGTCGAGTCAATAGTCTGGATACCTGCAGGATTAAAAAAAAGAGAAAGAGAGGAAAATTTACATTTATGATATGGCACTGTACAGCACACAGAGGACAGCTCTCCCTTATGTTCCTTCTTTCTACCTTTCCATACCACCTTACAACTAAAGCTGAGGCCCAAACTAGGCAGTGGTCCATGGATAAAGGGGGGGGTGGAGGAGAAGGGAGGCCTTGCACCGTTCCCCCCCCCCTTTGTGTTTTAGGGCAGAAAAGGGAGAAACGAAGGTAATGAGTACATGCATTTCACTAGCATAATGTTCCATGAGCCTTAATTTCAAGTCCACCTGGTCAGTAGTGAGAAAAAGAATTCTATGGAATTGGAGAGAAAGGAAAGACCACAGCCTGACCGAGAGGCAGAGCAATACCCCCCCCATCCCCAAACTTCCTTCTAACCGGGCTGAGTGGGACTCCCATGATTGACGGCTTGCCCCTCTGGAAGGCTGTCAAGGGAGGGCAGGGGGGGAGCAATCACACGCCTACCCCCAGAGCCCAAACCCAGCCCCCTGGCCACTGCCAAAGCCCTGGCCGAGAGAGAGAGAGAGAGAGGGCAGCAGCCTTCCTGTTGTTTGTGCTGTTGCTGTTGAAAGGCCCAGTTGAGTTGCTGGGGTCCTTTTCTTTGTCTTGATTCTCAAAGTCCATATTAAGAGACCTGCAGGAGGGAAAAAGGAAAGTGAAGCAGCCACTTCGTATTTCCCCGGCAGCTTTGATGTCCTTGAATGTAACATTTACAAAGGGTTCCTAGAAGGCAGTTTTATTACTGCTATTTACTTTTCGGCAGAACATCCAAAGCAAATTGAAAAAAAATGAAACAGGTTTAACAAAATAAAAAGCAAGAGCAATGCATAAAGTAACAACAACAAAAAGCAGCAGCAACGGGACACAAAAGCAGCAACTGTAAGAGACACAGAAGCAGCAGCCACACAAAAATCCTCAAAACAAAGTGGAATGGTTAAACATTGGCTGAAATCCTGTTGCTTTTCTGAGGAGATAAAAAAGCAAAAGGCGCGACATGGCCGGATTCCTAGCTGCTGCATTCAAAGAGCCCTTTCTGGGATTCTCAAGTGTGCCCCAAAGCCAGGTTGTTGTGGGGGGGGGTGTCTCTTTAGCCATGGCTAGAAATAAGTCCATGTTGCATCTTTTGCCTTCTGACGGCAAAACAGCACAACAGGATTTCACTCGCTGAAAGATTATTGGAAGGAAAACATTTTAAAAAAAACATAGTTAAAATCATGCTGGCAAGTCATTGTGGCTGAAGCTGTAGACCAAAGACAAAAAAAAACCCTTACCTGAAGCTGCCATAAACTATGAGGAGAATGGAAATCAGAAACGTAGATACTTGACTAGAATCCACAAGGGAATAAGCCCTGGAATGGAAGAGAGAAAAGACCATATAACAACAACAACGTCAGTTCCGACTTATGATGGCGACTCTTTTCAGTGTTTTCTGGGTAGAGAGAAAGAGAGGACTCAGAAGTCAATCACCATCATTCCCTTCTTCTGAAGGCATCCCCAGGACGGCGTGCAGCTGGCCCAAGGCCACCCAGGCTGGCTCTTCCCTTAAGAGGTCCTGTGAGGAACCCAACTCCCATCCTCTGGCTCCGCAGCGAGAGGCACAACCCACTGAGCTATCCAGCCGGCCAATATGCTATAGCCAAGAACCATGCCATCCAACCCATCAGGTAATTCCAAAATTGGACAAAATTTGCAAAAGACCACAGTAGACAGGTGTAAATGCAAGAATGTGTGCCTGTTTCCTCAATGTCCATCACTTAGTTATGGCTAAAGACACAACCCAGAGGCTCTTCCCATATAAATTAGTGCCCATTTATTCCAAAGAAGCGATTCTGAAATGCAAGTTACGTTGCAAAATCCATGATTTACAGAAGTAACTTCAAGCCTTAGCTTAGTAATCAATCCAGAAGTACTTCAAAGCCCATTTCAAGAGCAGAACAGGATAAGAAAAGCAGCAATAATAATCACACCGCCTCTCAATTCAAACATTCTACCACGGTTTACAATAACCTGACACACAATAAAACAGCCATAATCAATAATGCAGGTTGCAATTTTTTGAAAGAAGGAAGAAGCCAGATGCCACAACAGGAGGACCCCTTTATCTGCGGGATCAGTATCCACTGATTTACTTATCTGCAATCTGAAAATATTAAAAGAAAAATCTTAGAAATATATATTTCTAAAGATGAAGTCAGCAGAACTGGCCATTAGCAGGAACCATAGACAGTATTATGTATAGTATTTGCTATTAAAATAGCTTTTGCTATAATCCACTTTTTCCAAATTTGGAGTGGGGGGAGAACAACAGGGATCTTTTACTGGACTTCATATAAGGGTCACACATATAAGAATACCAGGAACCATATTTTTGCTTTGGTGGGGCCTTCACTGCAGGGTGGATAAAAAGCAATGATTTTTAAAAATTTAAATAATGATTTTAATTCTACTTGATTTAAATCAAATTCACTCTGCTTCACTACAGGAAAAAAACATTCAGTGTGTTGCATTTGTACAACTTTTATAATGTTAATTATTTTTTTAAAAAAAACTCAGTGAAAATAAATTGAAACTGTGTGTATTTCAAATTCAAACTGATAAGCATACACTAAGAATGGCAAAACACTAAATTATTAATAACACTGTATTCCCAATTATACACTCCAGGACATGTAATTACATCTGTTCCAGAGCTGTTAGCAAACAAAAGAGAGCTCGTTAATAATCTGAAATAAAGGATTAAGAAACAGATCCTCCCTTGCCCCGTGTGGTGGTATCCTGTGCTTCTAGTATTCCTGGCAGAGGGGGGGGGGGGAGAGGCAGGACTGGTTCACAAGAGATGAAACAAGTGTTGTTGGGTATATTTTTTTTAATTAGTTGAACAGGAATATATCCAAAGAATAAATCTGGGGAAAACTGATAGAGACACTCTTGACTATTAATCTGGAAGAATAAATTAATGGAGAGGACTTTATTTGGGATGTTTCGGGAAAAATGTTTTATCGTTGCTATCCTGAAACAGCAGGAAAGAGTAGAATGGTTTTGTATTTTGGAACTGAGACCACCCCACATTTCAACCCTGTACTTAAGGTTCTTGGGAAACGTAGTTCCTTGAGAGAGACTCAGACCTTGCTGGGCG